ACTCAGCTTGAAGGTAAAGAGGGCAGAAAATCAGATGCTCCTGGTGAAAGAGAGGTTAAAATGAACATTGCTATGCAACCATGATGGTGTCAGTTATTGTTACTCCCTTTACCATATCTAGCTTTTCTCGCCTCCAAGTGAGGCTTTAAAATACAAATACCACTTTCACTTTTCTTTATCTGTTAAGGAATTATGTTTATAAAGTATAATTGTCCCTAATTAGTTACTCAAGAAGGAGAAAATGATGCAAGGATTCCTGTTTATCCAGTCTGAAAAAGATAGTGGGGTAGAATCTCTGAAGGCAAGTCAATCTCTTCAATATTAGATCAACGCACTGTGCCTACTCAGTTATTACAAGAGATCATAATCGCTGCAGTAGAAAGCTACCCATCACGACATTATTTTCACGAGATTGATAGACACTTGAGAAAGGATTAAAAAAAAATAATCACAGAGAACAAAAGGACCATGTTTGTATGTCTGTGTATCTGTTAAGATTTCTCCCAGAGAAACTGGAAGCGTGGGCTACATTAGACAGATGAGGCTAAAGCCTCTTTAACACCTACTCTTCTTAAATAAATAGAGCAAAATTCTACCCTCAGTCATGGTCAGTGGGGTTCCACGGAAGATGTCAGAACAGAACCAGATTTACTAAAGAGATTTTAGTGAAGAAGGATAAAAATCCAGAGCAAACAAAGAGGTTCAATGTTTTTACTCAGATAAGACTTCTTATTAAGAAAGAAATCGGTAAAATCTGTCTTGAAGGTGAAAATATAGAAAGGAAAAAGAAATGAGAGACAGAGTTGTATGGTAAAGGATTATGTCAAGCAAGAGCTCTTAAGATTGATGTTTGCCAGTCTGAGTGGGTTGAATTGCGTGAGGCTGAAGATATATCTTCAAAAGCATCTTAAATCTTCCAACCACCACCATTGCTTGTTCACAAGAGGACTTTCTCTCTAGTGGTAGATTGAAGTTAATTTCTTTACTCACTCAGAAAGGCAATGGATAATAGGAGGGCTAAGTATGACCTCTTCCCTAGTGTGCTGAGCATGTTAGAGTGCAAAAGATTAAATTAGCGCTTTTTTCCCTAACTGAAAGGCATAATTTCATGGGGAGGGTTGAAGTAATTCAGAATATCTTACAGGGCTTTTGATATTTCAGGCAAAATGATACCTTGTGAAAGGACTTCAACAGTGAATAAAACAAAAGCGTAATATAGAAACAACCCCACATTTGGTATTCTGGCACATCTTTTTCTTTGAGTCTTCAGCCAGCACTGATCAACATTATCTTCCATTACTTACCTCATTAGGCAGCGCCTTCATCAGTGTTTGAAGAGTCTTCTCAAAGGTTATTTGGAGAGGAAGCCTGCAGAAAATTCTACACGTGCTAGAAGAAACCCTGGTATATGCTGACCATCCCCTCCTAAATATAAACTCTGGTTTAAAGAAATGCACCGAAGCCTCTTCATGCATTACATTATGTGGACTCCTCTCTGTGACCTCCAAATGCCCCGATTTTCCCTTGCCTACCACATAATAGTCATGTAATACTATCCTTGATGGACTACATATGAATAAGAGGCTATTTTGAGGTTGTAAGTACTTTAAATTGTAAGGTTCCCAGTACACCACTCCACAGCTGGCTTGGGAACAGAATAATTAACTCAATGTAAGATGTATGCAGTTGTCTTTATGAAAGCCCAATCTGTCCTCGGAGAGCGTTCTCCCCTGTGAGGAGGCAGCCTTGGAAAAAAGCAAAAGAACCAGATCATTAGTAATGAGTTTCATTAATGCGGCTGCTAAAGCTACATTGCTGTCACTTGGCAATGATGATGTGAACCGTGATCTTTTGAAGCTCCAAGATCTCCGTGGCGCTTTCTGGCCAGACGAGGAGACCCAGGTTATGCGTGTGTGACATCAGCAGAGCACCTGGGACAAGCCAAAGCCTGATCCCCGCACAGAGGCAGAAAGAAGAAAATCTGTATTTAATTTACACTGCTTGTATTTATCTGTAGCACCGTGTTATCAGGTAAACCCACCAGGGACAAACAAAACTAGATAGCTACCGTGGGCCTGTGCTTCCTCCAGAGGAGCCGGTATGTACAAGTCTCTCAAGTGATTCTCGGCTCTGGGAAACAGAAAGCCCCCATCCCCCTAAATATTATTTTAAGACACCTTAAAATATTACAGGAAGACATCAATAGTAGGAAGAAATTTCCAGACATTTATCTTCTTGGCAGCGTTAGTGCGCATCTCCACCGATACCCAGACAGTCCAGTGGCCAGCGGGACCGTGTCAGTCTTGAACCACGAGCAAACCCCACCTGCTCCTCCCAGCCTGGGCTGCCCCCCGTAAGAACACAAACCCAGGGGGTGTTTCTCCCAGGAAGCCAGGTGATACCCCAGTACTCCCCGAGGCGAGAGGGCTGAACGCCTCACACATCCCTGAAAGTCTGAGGGTTTCAGGAAAGTCAGAACGTGTCGAACGAGCCCTGCTGCCGCTGCAAGGCCAGCAGTTCCCCATCAGCGGCGGATGCTGTTGTTCTTTAGACACCATCTGTTGCAACAGCTGCTGGTGGCTTTCCAACAGGCTCTTTAGCGCAGGTCTAAAACCAGATTGCTCCCAGTCAACCACCTCTCCTTATCTAACCTTGACGAGGGAGGCTGAAGATCATTGTCACTTCGGTCCTCTTCCCTAGGGCCTGCGGTGGCACTCACCACCGCAAATGGGAGTATCACTTAGGGACTGGGAGAACCGATCACCAGAGCCCTACTGAGGAGCGCCTGCGGGTGGGGTGGGGTGGGGTGGGAGCAGGGCAGGGGAGGAGGTGTCTTCTAACAGCCCCCTCACCGCCATGGTGATGCAGCAAATGGCCCAGCATCCAGCCTGTCCCTTCTCCAGGGCGGCCTCTCTAGTACAGAGCAGCCCCATTAGAATCCTGACCTCCACCAGAGGCTGAGCAGTTTTCGTTTAATCCCGAAGAGCCTTTCCTCTCCCTAAATCCCACGCTGCAGAGCCCACAGTGAGTGGGGCCCTGCTCGCTCCTGGTGCAGCTGAGGCTCCACGCAGGCGGGTTACGCAGAGCCCTCTGTCAGTCACTCCCCGAGGAGTGTCTGGTTGGTATGTCCCTGCACGCTGCTGGGCACCGCCACCTACCCGCTCGCCCTCTAAAACACAGGGGCATCAGAGCACGTTAGGCCGGTTATCTAAAAAAATAGGTCTCTCAGTTTAATATTTTACTCCTCCCCTTGGCTTTTCAGCGCTGTTCAGTTGTGTTTACTTTCCGAGCAGGACTCCTGTGTAATTTTTACAAAGATTATAAGCAGTGTCACCAGCCTGCCCTACTTTTGACAGTTCCATAAAATCAGTATTTATACTGTAATGAAAAATGCATTGAAAGTCACTTTTGGCAACACATTTTTACTACTTTTTTTTGTGCCAATTTTTAAAGCCATATTTCTGATTACTTCCTTGTTCAGAAGATTTTGCACGTTGGCGTGATTCACTATTGAATAGAAGATTTTTATAAAAATCTTTGGGCAGAGTGTCCCAATTCCACTGGACCTCGGTTTATACTGTATGACCACACATATATGTCTGAATATCACCGCGTAATACAGACATTTGAAAACCCAGAGCTACCAGATGTTTAAGACCATCTGAAAACAAAAAGGAAACACGTCGAAACAGCGCAGAGCAATTCCTTACTCTGGCTCCTACCTGCGCCTGCAACAGTTACTTACCTTTCCGCACCGCCTGCTGTTCACTTCTGACGCATTAAGGTACAGTAACACGCGTACGGTGCTTTTCCCTGTATTTTTATATTCCGATTATGTAACTGTGCTGCTTGCATAACCGCACCGCCGATAAATGTAGGATTTGTCTGAGGATCAAGACAGAGCAGCTACTGTCAGCCCGTTACCGAGTCTCCCTCCCAGCCGCCCTGCTTGGAGCGCGGAGATAAGGTGGGTGCCCTATGTGTCAGTGCGCCCTTTCCAGCCTGGCCGGGAACGTTTAGCCTAAAATAACGTTTGCATTCATTGCATGAGATAATGTCACCAAAGAAACCAGGTCTCAGGCGGCCTCACTGAAGCACACACGGCAGAAATCCACCCAGCTGCCAGCTGTCCCCTGTCTGGGGGTATTTCCCAGGTCTGTCCCGCCTGCTGGGGCTCTCCCGACCCCGCGGGAGGTCACACACTCACACCCCCCCCCCTTCTCGGGGCTTTTGC